ATTTAAACCTAATCCTCTTTTCGCTGTCCACAATGTGGGCTGAAAAACGCAAGAGCAATATGTCACAGTGAACAAACACATCAACTTGTTAGCATATAGCAACCTTCTTAGACACACACTAAATTCACTTAATTCTCCATGAGCTAATAAACATTAAAATTAACTAGAGTGTAGGTGGAGGACCCTACAAAACACATGCATACAAAACAAAATTTTCTTTTCAAGCTTTCGCACGAAAACGCATGATTTGACTTGGCTAATTTTTCGTTTGTGCCAATTCAAGATTTTCTTTTGAATACATTAAGTTTTAAATATTGGGTTGGCAACTAAGTAATTGCGGATTTCACTCATAGATGGCTTTAGTTGAAATTTTTAGGGTTGCAGACGTAGTACAAATGTAAAATACATTTTTTATTTGATAGTTGGCAATTCAGCTGTCAATCAGTAAAAAAAGTTTTGTGATCGGTTGCGTAGTTTTCGTTTGGCGTTCGTTCAAAAATGGAAAATCAAAAGTAACATTTTCGTCATATTTTGCTTTTTTATTTCCGCAAAGGGAAAAACGCATCGCAAGCTCATAAAAAGTTATGTGCTGTTTATGGTGAGGAAGCCTTAAAAGAACGGCAGTGTCAAAATTGGTTTGCCAAATTTCGTTCTGGTGATTTTTCACTCAAAGATGAAAAACGCTCTGGTCGTCCAGTTGAAGTTGATGACAACCTAATCAAAGCAATAATCGATTCGGATCGTCACACTACAACACGTGAGATTGCAGAGAAGCTTCATGTATCACATACATGCATTGAAAATCACTTAAAACAAGTTGGCTATGTTCAAAAACTCGATACATGGGTTCCTCACGAACTGAAAGAAACGCATTTAACGCAACGCATTAACAGCTGCGATTTGCTAACGAAACGTAATGAAAATGATCCATTTTTAAAACGACTGATAACTGGCGATGAAAAATGGGTTGTTTACAATAATATCAAGCGGAAAAGATCGTGGAGCAGGCCAGGTGAACCAACTCGAACAACATCAAAAGCTGATATTCATCAAAAGAAGGTTTTGTTATCAGTTTGGTGGCATTACAAAGGAATTGTCTACTTTGAACTTTTACCACCCAACCGAACGATCAATTCTGATGTCTACATTGAACAACTAACGAAATTAAACAGTGCAGTTGAAGAAAAGCGGCCCGAGTGACAAATCGAAAAGGTGTTGTATTCCATCATGACAATGCAAGGCCACACACATGTGGTCACTCGGCAAAAATTATTGGAGCTTGGTTGGGATGTTTTGCCACATCCACCATATAGTCCTGACCTTGCACCATCTGATTACTTTTTGTTTCGATCTTTACAAACCTCCTTGAATGGTAAAAATTTCAATAATGATGATGATGTCAAATCGTACCTGATTCAGTTTTTTGTTAATAAAAAACAGAAGTTTTATGAACGTGGGATTATGATGCTGCCTGAAAGATGGCAAAAGGTCATTGATCAAAATGGGCATTACATTACAGAATAAGGTTATTTAGTTCCATGAAAAAATTGTCTTAGATTAGTTTTATATTATATTTATACTATTATATTGTCTTATTTAGTTCCATGAAAAAATTGTCTTTAGATTTTTCTAAAAAAAATCCTCAATTACTTAGTTGCCAACCCAATACATTAACTTTACATTCTAAGGTGTTTTTTGGCATTAAATACTTCTTATATATATATGCTCTTTGAAATTTAAATTATATTTGCAATATAATTTACTTTAACACAACAGATATTTTTACATTCTACAATCACATACTTTTATCACAATAGAGAATAAAATGAAAAATTTTTAATTGACTCCTTTTCTCTCCAAAAGTACGAACCTAAAAGCAAATTTTCATTAACAAGTACTAATACGAAGTTGCTTGTATCAGGCCACAACTTTTGGCATGTTAACATAAATAGTCTTTCGACAAAGAAAGGGTCCACCAGCGGCCGAGCGGTAAAGTCGCTTAACACTGTTAGTTCGGTCCGAGGTTCGAATCCGGCGGACGGGCTGGCTGCATGGGCGTTTTCGTGGTTTCCCCTTGTGTAACGTGTATACGAGCCAATTTCCCTTAGAAAGACCTCCACGAAGGCATCCCTCCCCTTAGCCAGATAGCCCTAGTGTGCCTTGCCATAATTAAATAAACCAAACGAAAATCGACAAAGAAAGCGAACTACTAGTTCTTTACATTAACATTACAATTCTAGAATACACTATAGCTTTATGATTTAGCCAAATAAAACTAAAATAACTTTAGTCCTCAACTGAGACAAATTGACTTTAAATAGTAAGTTCGTATTTTATGATTTTCATGTACCTTTACAAAACAGAAAAGATTTCTTGAAAAATTCACTTATCTTTGTTTTTCGTTGCTTGATACTCAGCCATCCTTTTATTGCAGAAATCCTTCCATATGACGTTATTCATACTGGCTATTTTTAATCTCTGCTTTCTTTCCACTGGATAGGTTTGACCTTGTCTTTTTTCTCCTCTGAGCATCTTTCTTTTCGGCTTGAATGGAGATGTCTCCTGTCTTTTCCTTTTGCTGGAGCGTCTGTCTGTTGTCGAGGGTTCTAACCTGCCGGTTCTTGGTTGCTTCGGTTCTTTTTTGCTGTGGTTCTTGAGCTTCGACTGGTCTCTTCTTCATTTTACCCACCAGTGGTCTTGTTTGTACAGTCCTTTCCGAGTACCGTCTCCTTGTAGTATCCTGGGGTTGTATGCTGCGAGACCTTGTCAGGGCATGGCCATCATTGTTCCTAGATGGGGTCTTCCTTCTCGACAATCCTTCGCCCGCTGATTTTTTTCTCGCTGGACCTTTCATCGAGGGAACTTTTCTTCGATGGGGTCTCTTTTGGAGACTTCTTCGGATAGTATGAGGCCTTGACATCTGGTCTGTTCTTTCTTTATTTTCTGACGGTGGAAGCGCTGGTGGGGCAGAAATGGGCGTTGAGTGTGCGCCTCTTCTGATTCGGAAGCCTGCAAGAAACTATTAAACACATAAAAGTTTTTATGTTCGTAGTATCGCGTTAATTGATCCAGACTGGTCTTTATTCGATCGCCCGTATCTGAAGTAATGTAAATAACAGCATCGATGATTTGCTGTACGACATACGGCCCTTCAAACTTATGAGCGAATTTCGCATTAATGTTCTCTGGTGCACTAGACAGAGTGAATTTTCTTTTCAGCACCTTATCACCCACTTTAAAATCTGATTCACGGCGCTTTCTATCGTAGTATAATTTTTGACGCCCTCTTGCTACATCTGAATTCGTCAAAGCTTCATCTATCGGCTTTTGAATGTTTGCCTGTTTAAATCCCGGCTCCCGTTCTTGGACGAAAAAGAGTTTATCTAACGGTGTCAAAATCTTTCTATCCAGAAATAATTCAGCGGGCGTTTTTATTACCGTTGTATCATGCTTGGCAGTTCTTAAAGCATATGCTAATTCATCAATGTAGCCATCCCAGCGCTTATGATAATATTTAACATGACTTCTAATTATTTTAACGATGTTTTTATTAACTGTTTCCGCGATGTTTGCCTGTGGTCTGTACGGAACCCAAGCCCTTTATACAAATTTTCAAAAGTTTGACTAACAAACTGCTTACTATTATCACTTATTACTTTTAACGGTACACCGTATTTTAAAATATAACTAGGTAAAAACGCATCTGCGGCTATTTTAGCCGACGCTCGCTTTAACGGAATTATTTCTATCCATTTAGAAAAAGGATCGGCAATCACCAAAAGATACCGGTTTTTTATTTAACTCACTTTGGGAAAAAGGGCCAAGAAGGTCTATTCCAAGAATTTCATTAGGAAAAATCGCGTGAATGCTATTTAGGTACCCGGCCGAGCAATAATTAACGTCGTTAATTACTAACTGACATAAATTACAGGACCTGACATACGCTGTCACTACTTTCTGTAGAGTCGGAAAATACACCGCCTCGCGTACCCTACGCACCGTTTTCCTCATCCCTAAGTGACCAGCGGTTGGTGTGTCCTGCAATTCCTACAAAATGCTTAGCCGTCGTGTGGCTAGGATGACTGGCCTATATTCGTGGTTTTCATTTATTGATTTAGCGTAGAACAGCAAATTATCTACAATCTCGTGGTTTTGGGCTCTATTTCTAATTTCGGAAAGGTCTGGATGTTCGAAATTATCTGGATCCTTTAAATAAGCATAAACATTACCGAATTATGGATCCTTTAGCAACTCAGAAATGATTGTTTCTCGGGAATCCAAAACTTTAGAAGTAAACATAGCACATTTTATTTGATCATCATTTTCATCCAGTTTAATTCTTGATAACGCGTCGGCCACGGTATTTTCCTTGCCTGGAGTATGCTTAATTATGAAGTTGTATACTTGTAACTTGTAAGGCCCATCTAATTAATCTGGGAGTTAAATTCTGTCCACCTACGGCCGCATGGTCTGAAGAGACAGTAACGGGTACTTTTCCTAAATAAACCCTGAACTTCTGAACTGTCATCAACACGGCTAACGTTTCTCGTTCGGTCGCTATATAATTCCGTTGTGTAGCGTTTAACGTTTTGCTAAAAAATGCAAAGGGATACCCTTTTTGAATTAAAAATGCACCCACGGCTTAATCTGCAGCATCAACTGCGATCTCCAAGTTCTCGTCGCCTTCCGAGAATTTTAACACTGGGTCATTAATTAGAGCTGTTAGTTAAATCCTACCTAACAGGCAGATACTTTGTCGTTTAACTTACTCCACTAAACGTCTGGTACGAAAAAGTAGAACTTTTTAATCAAATATAGATTTGAAAACTGGGGACTGGAATCTTGCTATGTAGTTTGCGTTTCCCCCCGTAGGTTTCAGTTAGAGAAGTATTTTGTGGCAATCACATTAAAAGGGGTGTGTGAGAGTGTGTTTATGGTTAAGTCTGCAAACAGAAATTCTCGCTTGTGTGAGGGTGTGTGAGTTATGTTACTCGAATGTAAATAGGTATTGTTTGTTAAATTGTGTTTCTTTTGATTTCTCTGGTGTTCGATAGTTCTTGTTATATGCTGAAAAACGATGATTTATATTTTAAGTAGTCTTAACATTGCCTGTCTCAAATATAAATGTATATTCGTTGTAAGTTTTTATAAATTTCTAATTTATATATTTGTAATAGTTTTCGTCTAATTTCTGCACATTTGAGGATATGTATTTTAATTTAATGCTTATTATCGTAAATGGGTGTAATTTTTGTGCAGTCGCGACTGTTAATTTTAAACAGGTGTTATTTATGTGGATATTTCACATCTCGTATGTGTATTAAAAATGTGTCCAGTATCGTGGATGGAGATCGGTGTTTATTTTGGAAAATCTTCGATTTTATAGCTATGGTGTTCTATCGTAATTAATAATTTATCAATATTTTCAAAATTGGATCGATTATATAAGTTGGTAATGAAATCCAGTGATCATAATTATCCGGATTCTTTTCGTATTAGTGCGGAGTTCTGACAAAATGAATGTGAGCACCCACTCATGTAAATGTTAGAAAGGTTATTTTAAATAAATATTATTTATTGCTATACTCTTGAGAATAGATGCAATTTATTTGTGTATTTTATAAATGTAATTTTATGGAAGTATTTTGTAGGATATTATTATAAAAATGGAATGTATTTTAATATTTTGTATAAAATAAATTTTTATGGAAATATTTTGTAGAGTTTTAATCCACTGTGTATCTTTATGAATTAAATTCTTATAACTTTAGTAGATCTAAAGCTGAAATAATTGTGAAGTAGATACTGTTGTTGTTTTTTTGAGGAATTTTAGTAGCTGAACTTTATAGGGCATATGACTTTTTAGTAGTAGTAATTGTATTTGTTATTATTTCCTATTAAACTATGTGGAATGATGGTATTTATTGTTTCATAAAAATTCACTTTGTACTTTGATTTAAAGGTACTTGTGTATTTTTCTGTCAACCATTTTTAGAAAATTGAAACTGCTGGAATTCAGGGAAATTTAATGCCAGTAATGGATAATTATGAAACCATAACATGTTTGTAAGATCTTCGCCTTCATTTTATATAGCACTAATCATTTTTCGATAAGCCACTTTATCAAAAAGGATCTGTTATGTCAAGACTTATTGACTTATGCTAAAATGACTTGCATAAATCTAATTTGTTTATTTAAGTTTTCTTATGCTATATTTAAGCAGGATTTACTAGTTAAATTTAACAAGTTTCGTTTTAATGACCTTCATTCATTAAGACAGTATTTATATCTTTAAGGAAAATGAAAAGACAAGATATTTTAAGTAGAAGGCAGTGCATACAAAGTAACAAAAAATCTTATGGTCGTATGAAAATCGTGATACTGTGCATAGAGTTAAAAAAAGACAACTTCACAATATTTTGATAAAAATGAAACTGTTTATAATGAGATTATGAAACCCAGTTTTTTAGTACTGTGATTTGATTTCTTATGCAAGTATAGTTAAATTTATGAATTGATGTTTATATTCAGCAACATTTCCTTTTTTGGCAATATATTACTTCACGTATGTTCTTGACAGATCTGCAGATCTGTCAAGAATCTTAGAGGTGTTGAATAAAGTAATTCAGGCTTTGATTGTGGCAGTTTGATACATCAATAATGAATCATTGAAGTTGTTGAATTCAGCTGCATAACTAGAACATTTGCCATGCAAGGCAGTGTGTTTGCCACCTCTCTCCATGCACACCAAAAGATTTATGTCAAAATACATGTAAGGAAACAAAAGTTCTTCCCTTATTTTTAAAGTAAAACCTTAAATCCAACATTTTAAAATGCTTATTTAATGTAAATACAAGCCAGTTTCCCCTAGAAAGTCATCCATGAAGGCATGTCTTCCCTTATGTTCCTTACTATATCTAAATAACAGACCCTATGTATTTCATAAATATAAGCTTGTGGCCTTTTTATAATATGAATATGAGAAAATTTTTAGTTTCTAACCCTTTCAAGAACTTTAAACCTCTGTGAAGGCATCCATCTGTTAGGAAAATAATTATAGTAAGTATTACCATAACACACAAAACCCATGTTGTGTTTCTTACTCTGATGATAGTATCACAAACTGCTGCAATATTATGCTTATAAAAAATGCCATCTTGAACGGACCTTTTTGTCCCCCTTCCAGCTACACCAGGAATTGAATGTTATCTCTACCACTTTTATTATTCAAAGTTATGATGCAACTCTAAACAAATTTGCTCTGAACCAGGATTTCTCAACTGGGAGGGAATCTTTTCTTGGGGAATTTTATAGTTGTGGGGGTTGAAGTGGTGAGCCTATTTTCTTAGCCATTAAATATTTAGTTTGTTTATGGCTGCTCTTCTTCAAAATTGGGGGTAGAACTGATTGAAGTCATAGTGCCACCTGTATGGTGCTCAAGGCTATTGCGAACGACAGGCACAGTCTTGCTCTCATTGTCACGATGAATTTTGGGTTGATCTTTGGAATATGGTAACTGGTAGTTTGGCGACATTTTGGAGGCGATAAAGGTTACTACCTATGACTTTGGTAATAATGTGAGAAGTACTGAGTTCCGATTACGCATTATTTTGTGTGAGGGAAATGAGAGATAATGAGATATGTCATGTGACATTAATGGATGAATTACAGTTCTTTAATCGGAAAAGGGGGGAAATCTGGAAAAAAATCTGGCAATTTTGTGTTTAGCTTTATTCTGTGTTGTGTGAAACAATGTTGGTTAATTTTTGGATCCCATGGCCCTAACTAAAGTGAATTCAAAATGGGTATTTAGTGGGATTGAGAGGGGTAGTAATAAGTGTTTTTTTAAGTTTGTGCAAGATAGAAGTAAAAATGTTTTATTAAGTTATTTATTTTACCTGGTACCTTGCTGTGAACTATAAGTATGATTTTAAAGATCCTGAAAACAGGCTCACATACGCTTGCTTTTTATTTAGCGGAGGAAATAAGAAAAGTTTATCGGCCACGTAATCAATATTCTAAAGAAGATTAGGTAAGTTAGTATTTTTAATTATTTGAGGATATTATTTTTATGCATTGTTCTAAATGTAAGGAGTAAATAAAGTTATATGATATTATTGGAAAATTGTTATTAGCAATGATTTAGTTTAAAGTAATTAGGATTATAAGCTAATTTTTATTAATTTAATGTATGTGCTTATTTATATTTTAAGTAGTGTTTTTGAATTTAATTATATTTTAATTAAATGGTAGTTATTTTGTGAATTATATGTTTGTAGGAATTTGGTATACGTTTCAGTGGAAGTAAACGTGTATGGAAATAATTTAAATATTTGACACTAAGTATTTGTAACCATTTGTAATGTTTGCGGTATGAATTCGTTGGTGACGTTTATAATATAATAGATAATTTAGAGGTGAAAGTTTTTGGATATTTTATTTATTTTATACATGGAAATGTTCATCTTAGGAAAGGGTATATACTTTTTCGCGATCAGGTAATTTCATATATGTTCTTTTATGGGATTTAAAGATTCACAAAATTTTCATGCATTTTCGTGAAATTTTTCTAATTTATGAGAAAAAAGCAGTGTACGTGGATATAGTGAAGAGTGTGTGCAATGCCATTTTTGTACAATTCTGGGATTTTTTTTTAAGTAAAACTAAGTCGACGTGTACATGGTTTAGTGATATTTTAATTAAATGATAGTTATTTTGTGAATTTTATGTTTGTAGAAATTTGGTATACGTTTCAGTTGAAGTAAACGTGCATGGAAATAATTTAAATATTTGACACTAAGTATTTGTAAGCATTTGTAATATTTGCGGTATGAATTCGTTGGTGACGTTTATAATATAATAGATAATTTAGAGGTAAAAGTTTTTGGATATTTTATTTATTTTATACATGGAAATGTTCATCCTTGGAAGGGTATACTTTTTCGTGATCAGGTAATTTCATATATGTGCTTTTTACCAAGTTTAAAAATTCACAGAATTTTTTTGCATTTTCGTGCAAATTTTTGTAATTTATGAGAAAATAGCAGTGTAGATGGATAAAGTTAAAGAGTGTGTGCAATGCCATTTTTGTGCAATTCTGGGATGTTTTTTTAAGTAAAAATAAGTCGATGTGTAAATGCTTTATGTGTATGTGCTATTCTGAAAAACGCGCAAAGAGTTTGCGATTGTGCACTTTTTCCCAATTTTGCAGTTAATATTTGTCATGATTAAGCAGTTTTGTTACATAAAATTTCTAGCATAAGTGTAATTCGGCTAGTAGATTGTTGAAAAAAGTGTTCAGTAAATAAAAAGAAAAGAAACATGTCTTTACTTCGTGAAGACAAAATGGCGGCGGAAAAAAAAAAAAAAATAGAGGGTTGCTGTAGCAGAGTTGGTCGCCAAAAAAATCGCCAAGTTACCATAATCCAAAGATCAGCCGAATTTTGTGATCTTGTTCTGATGTTACAGTCAGACAAGTGAGATTAGTCACAACACAAAAAATACTTTTATGCAAGTTCTGGTATTTATCAATGTTTTAAAACATTTTTTGGTTAAAAATATAATAACGGGTACCCCTTGGCGAAAATTTGCAGCATGGATACCGATTTTATGCAATTCTTTGACTTGTTATTTTGGCTTCTGTAGCGGCGAGTACACATTGACCTATTTTCACCTAAAAAACATCAGAGAATTGCACAAACTTAACATTGTGTACACTTCGACCTTAACAAAAAATCAGAGAATTACACAAACTAGTCATCGCGCACTCCCTTGGCTTTGTCCATGTACACATCGAACTATATTCTCTTAAAAAGTCCAAGGAGCAGCCAACAATATATATATATATATATATATAATCTGAATAAACTACATTTTAAATCAAACAATGAAATAAGATAAAAAAGGAAATTCATCAGGTCGAGTAGACTTTAAGGTACCCCTTGTATTATGGCAAAATTGTAGTTTGATTTATCGCCAAGTTGTCTCATTTATGGTAGCCTGAGCAGTTGAATTTTATGGAAACCCAATTGTGACGTAATCGGGTGCATGATTCTGGGAAATTTTGAATCGTGGGATGTTTTGTAAGCATTTTTGTGGTGTGTTGGTTTGATTCTTTAGACGGTAGAATGGCCGAA